TGGATCCTGACCACCCTTCCTGATCCTGACCACCCTTCCCCATCCTGACCACCCTTCCTGATCCTGACCACCCTTCCCCATCCTGACCACCCTTCCCGACCCTGACCACCCTTCCCGACCCTGACCACCCTTCCCCATCCTGACCACCTTTCCCCATCCTGACCACCCTTCTGGATCCTGACCACCCTTCCGGATCCTGACCACCCTTCCCCATCCTGACCATCCTTCCTGTGCAACCTCTGCTCCCCATGTCTCTGGGGCTCACCTTGGCCCAGCCGCTGGGAGTTCTGCTGTTCCTGCTGTTGCTGGTGCCTCCGGGCCAGCTTCTTCATCTGCAGGGGGACAAGCCAGGCACCCACTCAGTCTCAGCCTGCACGCCAGGCCCCCTTTATCCCCCTCACCCCACATGGACCCTTCCCTGCCTTCTCTCCATCCCCACCTCCCAGGTGTGCCCTAGACCCTGGAGTGGCAGTGACTTCTCACCTTTGCTCTTTGGTTCTGAAACCAGACCTGGACCACACGCACGCTGAGACCTGTCTCTGCCGCCAGTGTCTCTCGGACCTGACCCGGAGAGAGGGGGCAGGGCGGTCAGTGTAGATGGCAGCTGAGAGGTGGCAGTGGGTTGAGGGATGGAGGGACACTCCTGTCCCCAGTGATAGCAGTGGGTTGGGGAAGAAGACCTGGACCCACAATGAGCAAAAGAGGGGTGTTGGCCTCAGACCATTGCCCCCCTTCCCCACCCAACTCCTCACCTTCCGACAGGGCTTGGAGGAGACCTCAAAAGAAGCCTTGAAGGCTCTTCGCTGCTGCGTGGTGAGGATGGTCCGGGGCCGTTTGGGCCTTCTCGGGTCCTTCCCATCGTCTCCACTGCCCTTACTCTGGCTACCTTGCCCCTTTGCCGGCTTCATGTCTCCATCTTCGTCCTCACTCTTCACTGTGGAAGACACAATCCAACCTGTCAGTTTAAGCTTTGTATCTTGAGGTGAGAATTCCTCCACCCACCTGCTGTGGCCTCCATTGGCCTCAGGATAAAGTGGTTCCTTCCCTACGCACAGAGGGCCTTCTTTGCCTGGACCTTTATCTCCTGCTCCCTGCACGTCCCATGACCCACAAGCTTCCCTGTGGCATTGTCCACAGTTGCTGGTGCTCATGGGCTCAGGGAGACAGTGAATCAGGCCCCTGTGGGGAACAGGACCCAGGTGCACATGCATGGCCTCGCACGAGCCTCAGGTAGATACACACTAGAGTGTGTGCAGGATGCTGGCGCTCCCACACAAGGGCAGATCTGCTCTTACGTGTCTCTGAAGGCCAGCAGCCTCCTGCATAGGCATGTGGCAACTATGGCCCAGGCTGGTCCTGGGCTTCCGCAACTCATCATGTTTGAAACCCACCTTCAGCTGGCCTCTTAGGGTCATGTGTCATGCTAGCTGGGGATCAGGGTGAAAAGAGAAGAATGTCAGGAGCCTTCTTTCTTGAGACCTCCAAGGACTAGCAGCTGACAGAGACGCAGGGGCCAGGCATCCTCACAGGAGGACTTAGGACCGTGAGATGCAAGCGTGTGTGTGCACACACACACACAGTGTGCTCACTGGGGATACACATACCTGCATCTTGGCACAGAGGTCCACACATATGCTGCTTAGAGACATTTACAATCATGGGCACACAGAGGCTGGTACCCACAGGCAGGGACATACATGCCAAGACACATGTGGCATGAAGAAACATGTATGTACACCAAGCAACACACAAACACTTCCATGACCCCAGGGTTTGGGGCCTTAGAGAGCCAGGTACATGGCTGAGGTTCCTAATGGCCACCAGCTTCCGACACCCCTCACCTCTCCCTAGCCCCACTTTCTCTGGAGGTGAGCCCCATGGAGGACTGTGTTCCCTTCTACCTTATCTGTAAGCTGGGCCAGTGCCCTTCCCTTCCGTGGGAGTGCAGGTGGCCACAGGGATGCGGTCACAGTGTCTAACCCATGGATGGCCAGCAGCAGGTACATAAGGACTCTGTCACACTGAGGCCCAGATACTGGGGCCCTGGCAATGGCAGACACTCCCCACATGGGCAGAAGCCATCCCTGTGGGTCTAGGATACCTCAAAGGACAGGCCAATCATCTCAGCATGTGCCCTGCTCAAGTTTCAGGAGTGACAGGGTGCTAGCTGAACTTCAGACCTTGCCAGAGAGCAAGTGCATGCATGCACAGTGCATGTGAGTGTTTATACAAACATGCATATGTAACCTGAGTGTACTGGTTAGCTGCAGAGATATGAAGCACATATGTGTGTGTGTGTTTGCGTGCGTGTGCGCCTAGGGAGAGCTTTGCATGCTTGGGTGTGTGAGCACATGTCCCCACATAGGGCACATGGGGTGGTGTCTCTATGGCACTGGGTACATGTGTGGTCAGATAGGCATACAGGTGTGTGTGCTCTGGAGCTGGCACCCAGATAAATACTAGGGTGGCATGCAGGGATGGGTGTGACACACCAGTGCTCTATGTGTGTGGGTGCAGGTCTGTAGAGCTCAGAAGCCCCCCTCCAGCATCCCACTGAACCACGTCCTGCAGCTGTCCCAGCCCAGGCTCACCAGAGTCAGACTCGTCGGGGCTCACGGAACTGAGAAGATCCTTCTCCTTCTCGTAGTCGCCCTTACACAGCAGCTGGCCCTCCTTGAGCACGAACTCATCCCCCTTCCGCAGCTGCCTCTCGCACACGCAGCAGCAGAAGCAGCCCAAGTGGTACACACACTCGAGCGCCCGCATCACAAACTCGGTAGGCGCGATCTTCTCCATGCAGCCGCTGCATTTTGCCGCGAAGAGCCTGCAGGGCACGAAGGAGGCACAGGCTGGGCTGAGAGAGTCTTGCCCAGGGCATCTCCCTCTGCCACCCTGGCGGACAGTGGGGTGGTAGTGGGGGGAACACCCTCCTCTTTTGCATGTCCCACGGACCGGTCAACTCTGTTTCTGGGTCTTCCGGCTCGGACATGGTAGCCACTAGAGGGCAGTGTTCAGGGTCAGTCTCATTTCCTGACCACTAGCCTCCTTCACCCCCATAGCCAAATAATCCCAATTTTGCCCTGCCCTCCAGCCGGGACCCTTCTCCCTACCCTGGGCTTCCAGATCCCTCAAACGCTTCAATCTTCTCTCACCTGTGCACACAGGACACAGAAGACTTTGTAACACACGTTGATCTTGTTCTTTCCTGATCCACACGCCTGTAGCTCCCAGTGCCCTTAGGAAAACATCCCACCTCACTACCCCTGGCTTCCTGGCTGTAATCCCTCAGAACAGCCACGAGGTCTCCAGAGCACCCTCACAGCAGCCCCTGGACACATCCTGTCCCTGCTCCTCGGCTTGGCGTCACCTTCTTGTCCCTTCGTTTTAGCCTGGGCACAGCTTACTGAAACATGGCTAGTAGCTGTACTCAGCACGTTACCCGTGCATGTCACCTGATCTTGCAGTGGCCCTTGAGACCAGAGAGACCTGAGGAAAAGGAAGTGCAGACCAGAGTTCCTCGTGCTCAGCGTACATGTGATGCAACAAACAACTCCCCGTGTGGGCTGATCCAGGCTCTGTCTCCCATCCAAGGGTCCAGCCCGAATAGGGTCTCCATGCCCCTGGCTGGCTTGTGCTGGAGGGTCCTGCTGTTCCGCTGACCGCTCCTCCCCACACCCCACCCTGCCACATGCTCGCTCTGTGGGAACTCAGCCTCAACAACACTTTGATGGAAAAATTTATGAAGAATCAAATTATTGCTGCTGGGAGGGAATTAAAACCATTTTTCATTCCCCGCATCCCCGGGCCACGTCTGCGGGCGCCACCTTGGGAGCACCGCGAGTCCCATCCCTCTTTATGGCCCGCCATCACGGGCACAGATTACAGCTGCAATTCTCTGCTAATCGGTTCTGGAGCAGGGACAGCAGTAAACGGCAGGCTCCAGCCCTGCCTCCCTTCCCGGGGCTGCCATCAGCACCGCCCACGACAAAATGCTATGGCGCAGTGGACAGGGATTCCTACAGTTCTGGTTGCTGCCCTGGCACTGGCCAGAGCTGTTGGCCTGGGGACGACTCCCGTACCCACCTCTATTCTGTCTGGCAGACTCCTATTCAACCTGCAACACCCAGCTCCAATGCCACCTTCTCTGGGAAGCCTTCTGTGATGATGCCCTAGTCTAGGGCACGTGGCCTCCCCTACCTGCCTCTGAATTTCCTTACTGCCTCAGGTTGCTCTGCTGCAAAGTGGGGGTACCAGAAGACCATCCTGAGGATTTGATGACATTGAGCATGTGAGTCAGCAAGAAGCCACTATGTATGTCTCCAAGGTGGGCCCAGCTCTAGTGAGGACACCTCAAAGCAGGTTATGGCTCCTTCTAGTTCCAGGGGGCCTCTGTGTGCATTTGTGGTGTGGGTATGCAAAGTCTGGGTGTGGGACTGAAGGTCAGAACAGGTGCTTGAGGCAAGTGAGAACCCTCTAGGCCCACCTCAGCCTGTGACTTTGCAAGGAAGGCACAGGCCGGGTAGTTTTGTTCAGGGCCCAACCTGTCCCATTGGCAGCCATAGGTAGGCAGAGCTCCTAAGAACCCATCTGGCCATGGACTCCTTCCCAGAGCAGATACCTACCCCTTGCAGCTGCTCTGTACCTGACCAAGGCACCCAGTAAGGGCTGCAGGGGTCTGAACAGCTGGAAACTGGCCATGTCTTGGCCATCTTGGCAGGCCCAGGTCCCAGGCCAGAGTCAGCACATCTTGTGGGGCTCCAAGACACAGAGCTTCCTAGGCTGCAGAGAGGCAGCCAGCAGGGTGTGTGTTGGGGGGTGACCCGCATTCAGCAACTATGCCACCAAGCTGGCACTCCCGCATTCAACAGCCACACTAATGCCTTGGCAGCAGGGGGTGGATTGCGACTTTCTCCAAGCTTATCAACACAATCTATTATTAATACCCCTCCAAAGGCTCCAGCAGCCATTTCCAGGCAGCACAGCCACTCGGGGCATCATCTGTTATCTAGATTGCAAGAGCCTGGGAAATAAAACAAACGGCGTGCACTTTATAAACGGAATGTGCCATCCGTTCGGTCTCCAAGCATCTCTCCACCCAATAAAACATCGGGGGGCACGTATGAAATACTCACTCCCAATTACGGGGCCGGCTTTGTCTACCACGCAGGGATAGAGTGAGAGCTACGCTCGAGCGCATGTGTGTGTGTATGGGGGTTCCCTTCTCTCTCCAAATCCCCTTCTCTCTCTCATCCCCTTCACCATGGGCACATGGCTGGAACCAGAAGCCACCGAGAGCCAAGGAGGAGCGGGCCAGCCACAGGCAGGACACTGCCATCACGGAAGCTCGGAAGCTTTGTGGGCAATTCCTCTCTCCCGGCCTCAGCTTGCTTCTCGGCACAGCAGGCAGGAGCTACCAGTTTAAAGCTGCCAGCAGACGGGGCGGGGACGCACCTTGGCTCCCCCACTTCACGGTGCAAACCCAGGGCTTTGCGTGTCCTAGATGAGCATTCTATGTCTAGCTCCAAAGCTCCCTTGCTATGTGACTTTGGGCAAGACATTTAACCTCCGAGACTCCAGTTCTCCATCTATGGGAACATTTGGGCTGGGAATGAAGCTCGGCTGGTAGCGTGCTTGTCTGGCCTGCACAAAGACCTGGGTTCCATCCCCAGTACCAAGTTTAACCAGGCATGGTAGTAAACACTTGTAATCTCAGCATCAGAGAGGTAGAGACAGGAGGATCAAAAGTTCAAGGTTGGGGCCAATGAGATGGTTCACTGGGTAGGACCTGCTTCATAAGTCGGAACCAGAGTTCAATCCCTCAAACACACAGAAAGGTGGAAGGAAGAAGAGATCTCCATGTGGCATCCTCTAGCGCGCATGCCCTCCCACCATACATGCAGTAATAAAAGAAATGGCTACATGGGACCCTGCCTTAAAAACAAAGAAAACAAACAAAAAAACGAGCCAGGCAGCTGTGGCGGCACACACTAACTTTAATCCAAGCACCCAGGAGGCAGAGGCAGGAGAATCTCTGAGTTAGAGGTCTATGGAGTGAGTTCCAGGAAAGCTGGTGCCACACAGGGAAACTGTCTCAAACCCCCAAAATGGTGGTAGTGGGGGGGGGGTTGTCCTAACTAACCGCAGAGCAACTGGGAAGATTAGGTGCCTGGGAGGCCCTTGGCACCATGCTGGTTCGGGGGCCTTGTGTTCCCTGCTTATTGGGGCCCCCACGATCTCTGGGTTGTGTGTACAAGTCCCAGCACGTCTCGCAGAATCCCCAAGGCCAGTCTCTCGAGCTCCCCTCTGCCATAATGGGTCTTGCTCTCTGGACTCGAAGACAGGACAGCTCGGTTGGTGGCCACCCACCTGCGTCATCTCTCTAGGTCCTCACAGACCAACCGGGAGGCAGGGCAGACACTTGTCTAAGGTCACACACAGCACTGCTCTGACCCTGTGAGTCCAGAGGGCCTTGTCTCTGGGTACTGGGTCTGTGCACCTGTCCCAAGGTTATAAGCTTCCTGGAGGCCCAATCCACATCACACCCCATGATTCTTCCTCTCCACAAAGGGTCTGGGTTCTTTACAAAGTAAACCGAGGGCTGGGCATGCACGAAACTGGGTTTGATCCCCAGGGTTGCATAAGCCAGACATGGTGACATACACATGTAATCCCAACACTCAGGAGGTGGGGCAGTAAGCTTAAAGTCATCCTTGACTAGATAGTGACTTTGAGGCCAGCTTGGGATCCATGAGATCCACTCTAAAAATAATAATAAAATAAATAAAAAACAAATTGAACATCACTCTATATGCACATTTTTTTTCAGTGATCACTGTGTAAAATATTCTATCGTGAGGACTTCCCTCTTTGAAAGAGTTCCAGGATGTAAGATCCCATTCCCATCAGCAATTGGTTTGGTTTGTCTAAAGCATAATTTATTAAACTCATAACAGGCTAATTAAAAAAAAGTCTGAAAACACAGTGTTTTGCAGAGGATTTGAATGTGGGTCACAAATCTGACAGACTAACGTCTTAGCCAGTGGCCACTGTGGGATGTCTGGAGCAAAGCTCCAGCTGCATACAGCACTGGCCTTTCTGAGATGTCCTCACCCCAGATGTCTTCAGCCAGTCCCCAGAGTTCAGGTGGTACATGCTGAGCTCAGAGCCCTGGCTCTGCCACTGTCAAGCCCTGGAACCTTGTTAAGTATGTACTCTTGTGCCTCAGTCTAGTGGGGACAATGATAGATATGCTGCTGGGGTGGGGCTGGGGCTGGGGTTGGGGGTGGGGCTGGGGGTGGGGGTGGCAGGGCTCCTGGCGATGGATGGGTAAAAGGGGAGTGTGATTGCTTCTATTACATCTTCAAGATTCCCAGCGCTGGGGCAGGAGAGATGGCTCAGTGGTTAAGAGCACTGACTGCTCTTCCAGGGGATCCAGGTTCAATTCCCAGCACCCACATGGCAGCTCACAACTGTCTGTAACTCCAGTTCCAGGGGACCTGACCTCCATGTTAAAACACCAAGGCACATAAAACAAAAACAGATAAATTAAAACTGTCCCCAGAGCTAGCCTAGCACTGTCGTTGAGTGGAGCTCCTTCCTCCTCCTCCTCTTCCTCCTCCTCACTGCACAGCATGCCCCATAAGTGCACTTTTTTTGTTTTTCGAGACAGGGTTTCTCTGTGTAGCTTTGTGCCTTTCCTGGAACTCTCTCTGTAGCCCAGGCTGGCCTCAAACTCACAGAGGTCCGCCTGGCTCTGCCTCCCGAGTGCTGGGATTAAAGGTGTGCGCCACCATCACCTGGCCCATCTGTGCACTTTACAGTGTG